ATGCGTTTTTCAGAGGTAAACACATAAAAATTTGTCTGCTATTTCCTCATGTATATTACACATAAACCAAGAGCTGATTTGGACTCTGCACTTCAGTGCATTTATCCAGCAGTAAAGTACCTGTTCTTTCTTTCAACATAATGTTTATTATTTGTGTGGCTGAGAGTTTATAAATATCTTAGCAATGGTCTATCTTTTTTATATGTTCTTGCTATGCAGCGCACAGAATCTGAATGGTGTCTGTGTAGTTTTTGTCTCTTTTAGGAACAAAAATCTTCAGTTTCATATATGAAAGCATTTTGTGCTTGCTGTAGAAAAAGTCTATTCATTTACCAAAGAGGTTTTTATATTTTGTTTGAAAACTTTCCATAGCTTCATGTCATTATTTGATAAAGTTTCAAAGTAGACAACATGCAGAAGAATATAGGGTAAACGAATTACCAGTCAAAAAGAAATCCAGCTTTTAGATAGTTGCTGTTGTATGTGCTAGTAAAATTTTTGTTTTTATCTCTTTGTGTGGTATTATCACATCCACAGATTTAAATTCTGTTTGCATTAGTGTCCTGTTCTTGATTTAGGCTTAACATTTTTTCTGAGTTGTTTATGTTACCTCTTTTTTTTTTTTTAAATCAATACCTTAGGCTTTAGAAAACAAATTTTGAGTCATTTATTTATTTTTTTGATTGGGAAATACAATGCAACACAATGAGAAGAATGAAAATTTAAAAGATATAAATAATATTCAAATGACATGAAAATACTTTAGGAAAGATGGTTGTTCTTTTTTAGAATAATACAGATCTTAGATAATCTTTTCAGTTTTTAAGATAATAATAGGATTTCTGTGGAAATCCAAATTACCCTTATATTTTACAATTATGAAATATACGCAAACTAAATTGTTTCCTTCTTTTCCTCTAAATATTCCAGGACACTGAGGAACAACTAGTGACTGAGAGACCATAATTTGATAAAATAATAACTAATACTCTTATTGTGTCCTAGTTTAAAATTTTATCTATATTTTTAAAATATAGATAAATTTTAATTTTATATATATGCTTAAAAATATATATATAAATATATTTTGTCTATAAATATATGTAATCTAATATTATAGAGACATTTAGCAATATTTTAATTAAGTATTTGCTCTTTGCATATTTCTCCCTTTATCCTGTCGTTAGTTCTTCCACTGTCCGGGATCATTCCTATCAAGTACAAACATGCTTTAGAATCTACCATGTTAAAAAAAAAAAAGTATTATTCCCACATTTTTTTTAACTGTTGCTTCATTTCATTCTTGCCTTTACAGCACAATTTTTCAAGAGTTTTCTCTAGTCACTTTCTGTACTTCCTTACCTTCCTAAATTCATCTTAACTTTTAATTAAAGCCAAACAAGTATTTGTGAAATATGCATAAAGCATGGAGACTAAAGAAACAGACACCATCAACCCACCATTACTATTATTTTTTAACATTACCATTAACATTGAAGTTTCCTGTGTGTCACTCCTGGATCTGGTTTACTTCTTTCTCTTTTAGAGATAATCACCATCTTGAATTTCTTTACAGTTTACCATATGTTTTTATTCCTAATAAGTGTATCTCAATATGTGTTTCATTTTGAATGAATGAAGTTATACTGTATTATTTGTCTATGACTTGCTTTTCTTGTTCAATGTTTGGTTTTTGAGATCCATCCATATACTGTGTAGCTGTATGTACTTCATTAATTTTCACTGCTGTATTCCATTGTATGAATATACCAAAAATTTTCCATTTAATTGTTGATGAAGATTTGGATTGGATCTAGTTTTTTGCTACTCCGCGGCGCCTGAAGCTATGTGCATTCTTTTTGTCTCCTGTCAAACCGTAGCAAAGGACCAAGCTTGGATTTTTCCCTTATCTGTTGTAGATTGATGCTTTTGTAAAATACACTAAAAATTCTCACCCATGTCAAATTGCTATAAAATTATATGAAACTTTACTTTGAAATTTTGTATTTATCTTGTTATGGACACTTTGAATACTGCTCTGAGATGTGTACCTAACTGTGGAATTCCTGGGTCATTCATCTTCTACTACTTATGAAGAAAATTGTTTTCTCAAAATCACTAATATTCTAGTTGTTCAAATTACACAGAAGGCAGTCTGCTAGCTCTTTGTGGCTTTCTCTGTATCTGCTTTCAATTCCTAGTATGAAGGGGATTTCACACTAAGACCTGCTGCTTTAGGGTAATGTAATTTTCATCCTAGAGAAAGTGACTGCAGATAAGATTGGGCTGTTGTTTAAGAATTTATTCAAAGCCAACCTAGTGAGCACAAGTGAGAGAAAACTATGATGATGGGATAAGGGGCCAGCAGGAGTGAATTTATTGAGGGAGATGGTCTGTAATATTGTAATACTACAATACTGCAATATACAGTATTAAGGGAGATGGTCTGTAATACTGTAATACTATAGTATTGCAATACACAATGCTGCAGTAGAGAGATCTAAAGAGAGCAAGCAGAGAAAAAAAGCATTGTACCTAGTTAGATTTTTGGAGACCTCTAAGAGTCCAGTTAAAACAGTGTGTACATTCCTTCTTATGTTAGCAGCCTTTCTTCTGCATAGGCGGCCTTATAATTGTTTAAATGCATCAGGGAAATTTCACAGAATATAAGCTAAGATGGGATTACTCTTACAAGCAAGCGGCAGGACTACTTTATATCAGTGTTTCTCCACTATATTTTCATTACAACCCCAACCCAGGTTCATATATATATTTTCCCAATTGTCTCCCCCTTCATGTAATTTTCATACCAAAGATGTACAGTACATCTGTTTGTATACTGTAGCCTTTGGAGGGCTACAAGCCATTTTAATTTTCAAGATTTTTTTTTTTGCCCCTAGAACCAATTACCACCTGTTTGGGAGTGACAGCACCCCTGTTGAGAGTATATCACATGAATACAAACATGGCTCTTCGCATTAGAGTACAAATATTTTAAAAGGTAATGTTTATTTAATCATGTAGGTCAATGAAATGGGGAAGGCAGACTACATAATGTTAAGAAATCATCCTAATGAAAGTATACTTGAGTTAGCAAAAACTCAGTTTTTACTGAGAGTAATGAATCAGGGAAATAAGGTATACAAGTATTTGTCTCTGTTTGATGGTATCATTGTGAAAGAAGTATAGACGTATGGATCAGATGATAGTACAGTTAGGCAAGTTTGTAGATTGAGAATGCAAATTCGTTCATTGATGCCTGTCTCTTAGGTGATTTTTAGTTTTCACTCCTGTCTATTCTAAACATTTATTCATGAACTTAAGAAAACATCAGATTTAGGGATGTCATGATAATGGGAGGAATAGGGTAGTTGACATCCTCAATCTCCAAAGAAACTGACAGGCTAAAATAAGGGCAGAAGTAAAGTATTGCAGTTGGGTCTAAAAAGCCGTATTTATAAGAATAGAATGAAGGAAAATGGATCATAACAATAAAGAAACTTAGGGATTTAGGTTATGTTAACCTTAAGGAGCATTTTTAGGAAGCTTTTAACATCTTAATTTTTAATAATTAGTGTCTAGAATCTAGAGTATATGCTGATTAAATCACAACCCGAAATAATTATATCAGGATCTTTTTAGGACCATATAAAATATTGCTTAAATTTAATGAGCATACCATAATGTGGTATACTTTGCATGTAGTTACATCAGAACCATTTTGTGGGCACTGGTTCATGAGTCTTCTAATTGATTGTATTGTGTCTGAATTTTCTTTGGGAAGAAATAGATTTTTCTTCACTAGCAAGAAAGAAATTATCTTCTGCAAGGATGTTGACAAGGAGATCGTGAAAATGATAATTGACAGTTTTTTGAGTGATTAAGCATGGGTGTATTATATAAAATATGAGTCAGCAATCTAGTCCACTGACCAAATCCTGCCAGCATCCTGTTTTTATATGACCTTTGAGCTAATTTTTTTTTTTTGCATTTTAAAGGTTTATAAAACAAAAACAAAAAGCAAAGAATATGCCATAGACCTTAGGTAGCCTGCAAAACCCCAAATAAGATCTTTTACAACCAGAAAACTTAAGCCCGAAGGGCAAGAAACAACACAAATAGTTCGGTATATAGAAATTATATGATTACATTATAGATTAACTGGGCTGATATTCAATATGGTTTGAAAGTTACATACAAAATAGCTGTTATAATGAATTATTTAAGCAAAAGGAGAAAACCTATTTATTAAATCAGTAAATGTCAAAGAAATTTAGAATTGATGATAGGTGGCAGGTATATCTTCCTAAATTGAAGTTAATTTTGTCTCTTTGGGCATAGTGACTACTATATTGGATTGGGAAGCAGCCAAAAAGCTTGTTAGGAAGAAGTGCAGGGAAAAACTAGCCTGGGACTAAAGTTACCACTGATAGCCCAGGCGATCAAGGAGACAGACAGGAAAACAATCACTAATTATCTGAGTATCAAAAGTAATATGGGCTGCTTTTTATAAATCCATTCTTTTATACTTAATGTAACCCCAAGGACAGCGAGCTTTTCAAAATGTTTTTGACAGAAGTATCTTATTGGTAAGAAAATAGCATCATTCACTTGACAGTGGTTTTAAGATGAATGATGGGCCTTTGGAGATGGTGGGGAGGCAGAAAATATCTGATCATATGTAATTTTTCTTTTATTTTTAGTGACAACGTGATTTTGGATTTATATTTTCCTTTTGTGGTCATAAATATTTGAAGGTTAATATGGCTTGTTTTAGTTACTTTACTGTGGTAGTTCTTTATTCTTTCAATTTCTCAATTACAGATTGTATTAATTAATAAAATATTCTATCTAAAGGTAATTTTTATTCTCACCATTCCAATATCTCTTCCAGATTTTGAGCTATGTTAGATCATTATATTAGAAAATGCTGCATTTTGTCTTCACATACTTGTTTATTTATTTCTGGTTTGTAACCAAGTTTTTTTTTTTTTTTCCAGATGATTCTTTGGGATTGGGACTTAAAGCAATGGTATAAGCCTCATTATCAAGTAAGTATAAGTAATATCACTAATATCTGTGATGAAACTTTTGACATTTAAAGTTACATTCACAATATTTCTATGCCATAAGATTTTCTTTAGCTAAACTAATAAGTTAACCAGAACCTTCATTGAGGTAGATTTTTTTTTTTTAATTTTTTATTGGATTATAGGTTTTGGGGTACATGAGCAGAGCATGCAAGACAGTTGCGTAGGTACACACATGGCAGTGTGCTTTGCTTTTCTTCTCCCCTTCACCCACATTTGGCATTTCTCCCCAGGCTATCCCTCCCCACCTCCCCCTCCCTCTGGCCCTCCCCTTTTCCCCCCAATAGACCCCAGTGTTTAGTACTCCCCTTTCTGTGTCCATGTGTTCTCATTTTTCATCACCTACCTATGAGTGAGAATATGCGGTGTTTCATTTTCTGTTCTTGTGTCAGTTTGCTGAGGATGATGTTCTCCAGATTCATCCATGTCCCTACAAACGACACGAACTCATCATTTCTGATTGCTGCATAATATTCCATGGTGTATATGTGCCACATTTTTCCAATCCAGTCTATCATCGATGGGCATTTGGGTTGATTCCAGGTCTTTGCTATTGTAAACAGTGCTGCAATGAACATTCGTGTACATGTGTCCTTATAGTAGAACGATTTATAGTCTTTTGGATATATACCCAGTAATGGGATTGCTGGGTCAAATGGAATTTCTATTTCTAAGGCCTTGAGGAATCGCCACACTGTCTTCCACAATGGTTGAACTAATTTACACTCCCACCAACAGTGTAAAAGGTTTTTTTGTTGTTTTTTTTTTTTAATTTTTTTATTGGAGAGGTAGATTTTTTAAAAATACATTTTAATTTTAAGGGAAAAAGAAAATGATAAAAAAGCAAATTTATATAAATTGTTATGAAAAATATTGCTAATGTTGCCTGGGCTCAGAATCAATATTTCTATATTAAGGATGATACTTTTTTTCTTTTCTGATGTGGACCACTGATCTATAAAGGAGAAGAAATAGATTGAAGGCCATATCTGAGGCAAAGCAAAGCAATTGTCAAAATATTTTATTAGGGAAGTAAAGATACCCAACTTTCATTTTTTTGGTAAACTTTTTATTGAATTTACAACATTCATGCAGAAAAGTATACGGCTCAGTTTTCACAACTTAAACATCCCATGTAACTAGTATTGATATGAAGGAATAGAATATTACCAGTATCTCAGAAGCCTCACTTATGCCAATTCCAGTCATTACCTGTGTCCACAAAGATAACTCCTGTCTTCTAGTAATTAGTTTTGCTTATTTTTGAACTTTATATATACACAAATAGAATAATATATGTACTTTTTTAAGATTAATTTTTTTGAACACCTAAGTAATATATATTTATATCAGGTAAAATGAAAATAGAAATATTTAATATAAGGAGAAAAAAGAAAAATCACTCATAAAACATGAAGCAATAACTGTTAACTGTGTTAACTTTTGTTGTATATCTTTATTGATCTTTCTCATTATGATGAATGTATTTGTATATTCTGTTCTATAAAAATTATATTATTATGTGTCATATGCTGTTTCAAAACCTGATTTTTTGTCACAGTAATGGATAAACATTGGTAAATGTTAAATCATTTTTTATTGCAGTCGTATGAAATCAAGGAGAAGGCCACATCTTACCTAAAAGGGATTGGTTCTTTGACCTACATTGTGGGCTTCATCATCATTTATATTCACCAAGATCCTCAGTTTTCAATTAAAATAATATCTCAATTACTGATAAAAATCTAAATATGCCTTTAGTCAGACAGAGTGGACTGGTGTGTATTAGGCACCTTTATCTTTTTTCCTTTTCTCTCTTTCCTTTTCTAATCTTCATAAAAAATTGAAGGACATGGTGATTCATGCCTGTAATTCAAGCATTTTGGAAGACTGAGGTGGGAGGAGCACTTGAGGCCAGTAGTTCAAAACCAGCCTGGGCCATGAGATCCCCATCTCTACAAAAAATAAAATAAATAAAATTATCGGGGAATGGTGTGCATCCCTGTAGTTTCAGCTGCTTGGAAGCCTGAGACAAGAGGATTGCTTAAGTTCAGGAGTTCAAGCTTTAGTGAGCTGTGATCATACCACTGCATTCCAGCCTGGGTAACAGAGTGAGACCCTATTTCATAAATCATTTAGCTGAAGAATTCAGTACCCTCAAAGCCCTCAATGCTCCCCTTCTAGTTATCAGCTTTTTTCAAGCGTTATGTCACTCCTGATTTTTGCCATTACAACTTAGTTTTTCCTGTTTTTGAATTTTAAATAGATTGAGTCCATCATATATTTTGTTTTGCTTTTTTCCTTCAAAATTTCACCTGTGAGATTAATTTATATTATAGCACATAGCAGTAATCCATTTTCATTCTAGCTAGTATTCCATTGAATGAATCTACCACAATGCATTTATTCTAGAGTAGATGGAAATTTATTTTATTTTCAGTTTTTTGGCTATTGCAAGTAATGCTGTTGGTACAATCTTGATGTCTTTTCTTGGGTATATATTTTGGAGTGAATTGCTAGCCATATACATGCATATGTTTGCTTTAAGTAGCTAGCACTAGATAATTTTTTTTTCTTATTTTTTTTGAGACGGAGTCTCACTCTGTCGCCCAGGCTGGAGTATAGTGTCATGATCTCAGTTCAGTACATCCTCTGACTCCTAGATTCAAGCAATTCTCCTGCCTCCGCTTCCTGAGTAGCTGGGATTACAGGTGTGTGCCACCACATCTGACTAATTTTTGTATTTTCAGTATAGAGACGGTGTTCCACCACATTGGCCAGGTTGGTCTCGAACTCCTGACCTCATGTAATCTGCCTGCCTCAGCCTCTCAAAGTTCTGGGATAACAGGCATGATAATTTCTTGATAATACAAAAAGTTGTATTAACTTTTACCTAACCATCAGCAATGTGTGAAAGTTCCAGTTGTTTCACATCTTTGCCGACAGTTGATGGTATCTCTTTTAAATCATTCTGGTAGCTGTGTAACAGTGTCTTGGGTTTGAGTAAAGTCATGAGCTCCATAACAATGTTTTGTCAGTGACAGACTGCATATACAATACTGGTCAATAAAATTGTAGTGAAGCCTATGTAGAAACCTGATATATGGTACTTGACATTAGCATTGCAAATCACGTAGGGGACATCATTGATATTCAGTAATGGTGCTGGGACATTTGATTTTCCACATGAAAAAAATATATAAATAAAAGTGTATATAACATCTAGGTTTGTATACATATACTGTAAGATATTTGCACAACAAAAAAACTTGCCTAATGAGGCATTTTTTAGAATAGATCCTGTCAGTGCATGACTGTATTTGTATTTCACTAATGAGATGATTCAAGAGCCTTTTCATATGTTAACTGGGTACCCAGATATTCTCTGTTCAGGTCTTTTGTCCAGTTTTCTATCTTTTACTTAGCAAAAAGTAGGAATTCTTTGTGTATTCTGAACATGTATATATGTAGTTTTGGGTGTGTGTGTGTGTGTGTGTGTGTGTGTGTGTATATATATGATATATGTATTTATATATCTAATATGTATTGAAAAAATTTTTTTCCCAGTCTGTGGATTATTATATCTTTTGATGAAAATACTCTATATTTTAATGTAGTCCCAATTTATCAGTCATATACTCTGATTAGTGATTTTTTTTGTGTCTTGTTTAAAACTCTGTGTACCATCAAGGTCATGAAGATTTTCTTCTGTTACTTTCTAGAAGTTTATTTTTTACTCTGAATCTTTAGGTTTATAATGCGTCTGGAATTGATTTTTCTGTATAATGTGATATATATCTCAAGATACATTTTTTTCAATATGTATTTCCAATTGACCAAGTCCCAATTTTGAAAAAACAAACATTCTTTCACTGTATTGTCACCTCTGTTGTAAATCAAGTGACCATATATGTGTGGATTTGTTTCGGACTTTTTGTTTGTGTCCATCCATCAGCTTGTCTGTTCTTAAACACTGATACCATATTCACTATTCAGTCATTGCAGCTTTATAATACATCTTGATATCTCACAGTATAAGTTTTTCAGCTTTGTTCTTAAAAGCCATCTTGGACATTCTTGGTTCTCTGTGTTTTCATACAAAATTTAGAATAAATTTGACAAGTTCCATGTACAAAAAAATCCTGGAAGGATTTTAGATTGATATTTACTGACTTTATCAATTTAGGGTGAATTACATCTTTATAATGTTGAGACCTTCAGCCCATGAATATGGTATGTTCACTTATTTGAGTCATCTTTATCTCAATTAAGTTTTCAGTGTGGAGGTCCTGCATATATTTTGTTATATTTATTCCTAGATATTAAATTTTCTAATATTGCAAAGGTATTGTAAAAAAGGTATCAATTTATTTAAAGTTTATCTTTTTAATAGTTTATGCTGCTTCATTGAAATTCAGGTGATTTTTAAATATATTCATCCTTCTATCCAGGAACCGTGCTAAATTTACTTATTAATTCTAATAGCTTATTTGCAGATTCTTTGAGTGTTTAAGTACAGAATAATGTTATCTGCAAAGACGGATTTATTTATTTATTTCCAAACCTGTGCCTTTTTTTTTTTTTCTTTTTCTCATGTTATTGTACTGTCTAGGACCTTCAATGCAGTGTTGAATCGAAGCGTTATGAGAGGGCAGCCTTGTTTTTGTTCATTAACTCAGGGAGAAAATGTTCAACATATCACACTAATGTTTTTGTAGATACCCTTTAGCAGATGAAGGAAGTTTTATTCTAATCCTGTTTACTAAGGACTTTTTTTTCTCTTTTTAAGTCATGAGCGGATGTGGAATTTTATCAGATGCTTTTTCTGCATCTATTCAGATGATTCAAGAATTTTTTTCTACTTATTCTACTAATGTGGTGAATTACATTGTTTAATTTGTGTGTTTGTTAAACCATCCCTGTATACACAGAATAAAGTAAATTTGATCAAGATTGTGTTT